TATATATAATATATATATATATATATATACATACATACATATATGTGTGTGTGTGTATCCCGACTCATCGTCCTAGACTCACCCGTCACGAGAGCGAAGCCACCTGTTGTAACTGGAAACACAACAGGTACCTGAAAACATCCGGAGCAGCTGATAAGGAGGGACGTGTGTGTCCGGTTCAGGTTTGTACATGTATACAAACTGGTTTATGTGTATACACACATATATATATATATATATTATATTATATATATATATAATATAATATATATATATATATATATATGTGTGTATATATATATATATATATGTGTGTGTGTGTGTGTGTGTGTGTGTGTGTGTGGTGTGTTGGTGTGTGTGTGTGTGTGTGTTGTATGTGTATGTGTATGTGTATGTGTATGTGTATGTGTGTGTGTGTGTGTGTGTGTGTGTGTGTGTGTGTGTGTGTGTGTGTGGTGTGTGTGTGTGTGTGTGGGTGTGTGTGTGTGTGTGTGTGTGGTGTGTGGTTTTATATGCATATACGTATATAATGTATGTATACAGTATTACCCTCTACCACAGCGAAATGTAGCATTCACTGTAGTATTGTTTTGTAAAATGTCTGTAAACATAGATGGCTCCACGAGGGCTTAGCAACCATGTAGTCAAATAGTCAGTGTCGTGATCTCACCTGATGTCAACTTTCCTTGAGTTTTAGAGATTTTTTTTTTTTTTTTTTTTTTTTTTGCTTTTTCATTAATGTAAACAACATAAATGGTGTTTTGATTATCATAGACATTATAAATATTAGAATGCAATATAACATAGAAAAATATTTCCGAAAATCAAGTAAATGGATAAAATATGAGATTAGTAGTACTAGCAATTGGCTCATTGGTGACTAAGTACTTGTGGAGCTTTCTATGTGTAAGGGCAATTATTAAGGCAAGCTCACAGTGGGCATGGCAATGGTGGCATGTATGTCCATGCCATCAATTAATATCTATCAGCATCCATGCAGCCAACAAAGTTATGGTTGTTAATTATATATGACCATTAATTGCTTTACTGGAGCTGCTATTTTCATCTAAATAATGTACACAAAAGGTTCTTATATGCAAAAAAAAAAGACTGTCTTTAAATCTGATGATGAAAGTTTTTCATGTCAGAATATACAAATGATTTTATACAGTAAAATATTTTTGTAAAGATTTCTCTCCTCACAATTTCTCTAATACTGTTTTTGTTGAAATCACAGACATACATTGTAATATTGAATTTATATTTTTTTATATAATTTCCTTTTGGTGTTTTTTTTCAGCTTCTCTTTCACTTTGGGTGCCAACCCCAATACATTTCTTCTTAACTCATTACTGCTGGGTAAATGTACTATAAACATTTGTTTTTTTGGTCAGTTTTGTTTGCACAAATATGGCTCAGTGCTCAGTGGCCTCAGAGGGACATTCTCTTATTAATCCAATGCTGCCAAGCCCATTGTGAAATGAGTTTATTAAATGTATTTACACATACATAGCTCCAACTAGTGCTTAGTCACCTAGAAGTCAGTCTCACTTTCATTTTAGGAAATATATTTTCATTGTATATTGCCGTTAGCATTGTTAATATCTGCACTGATTATGATGTCAATAATAATAACAATAGCATTGGCATTAAAACTTTAGAAAAAAGGGAAAGCAAAACAGTACTACTTGCACAGTGAACATTACATATTTCTGATAAGATTAAGCTATAGTCACCTTTGTAGATTTTTATAGCACTGTTAGGAAGTATAGTTGGATGGATCTGCTCATCAGATTGTCTCTACATGAGACAATCTTGTGTGGAGGAGGCCTGTGGGATGACCTAGGATGTGTGACTCGGGCAGCTCAATCAGACCTGCTGTGAGGAGGTAGAGATGGGCTGAGGGTCTGCATGTCAGCTTGCTATGGGGGACTCTGTAGCTGGAAGAGAAGGGTGGATGTGGCTATGCAACCCTGTCGGTGTAAGTCCATTGATTGATTGATTGATAACTAGCACTTGTTGCAGATAAAGGACAGGCACTATGGCTTCCAGGTACCTGTCAAAGAACTTAGATGCTGAGGGATGGTTCCTAACTTTGCTATACGATGTTCAAATTCTGTTCTTGCAATTCCCTCTCTCTGGCTGTTGTTTCCTTTAGGCATTTCTTTAGTAAAAATTCTTTGATTATCTAAAGTCACCCTTGTTCTTAAAAGATATCCTCCCTTCAACAATATACATCCAGGTCTCTTCACATAGAATCATGGAGAGTAACATCTGAACTTCGGTTGAAGTTCAGAGGAGCCCCTCCAGCATTTCTGGAATACATTTGAATTTTCAAGGTTAATGTGATGCTAGTAGTAAAGAGTAAATGTAAAATGGTACCTTCTTTCTTATGAAATTCAATTTACTTCTGAAACCTAAAAGAAAAATAAGAGAGCTCTTAATAAATTTCTGGGTGATTTTAAGTAATTTTAAGGGATTTTCTTTAGGATTAGCTAAT